AATCAAACTTTGTTAAAACGAATGTCAAAACCCTGTTAGGCCGAGACGAGCTGTCATAACATAACAGCTGCACGAAGTACTAATTTCCCGACCTCTCCATTACCCTTTGACACTTCCAAATTATCCAAACTGGATAATTTTACCACCTCTCTATGAGAACCACTGACCTATACGTTGAATGAGTTTTATCGCTGAAATCCAATGGCACAAGAATGTTCTTGTCGTTCTTTCAGCGATACTTTCAAATGGTTCACTCGCTTACTTTCATTCATTCGAACATTTACAGTGGTCTCTATTTGCTACTGGTGGTTAAGTATGATCTGAATAAGAGACTGAGGGAGAATCGCCCGTTGCACGAACTCTTCCTCGATATCGTCGCTAAAACTCCGAAGAAAATAGCAGTTGTGGATATTGAAACGGAACGAAGGTTTACATTCGAGCAGTTTAACAACGAGGCGAACAAATATGCTAACTATTTTCAGGTTTTGTGATCTAAAACCTCATGCTTATTTTCAGTACTTTAAAAATCACTCATTCAGCGTGATTCATTTGGTTGTTCAATGCTACATAGCAAATTGATAAGACAAAAACATCCCGTGCTATATTACAGATGGTTTAACATGAAAGTACTTGAACAATCGATCGGTTTTGTTGCAATCGTTAGAGGTGAAGTATAGCGAGGCGTTTTGATCGGTCATATTGATTAGATTAAAGTGATAAAAGATTGATGTCGTTACAGTCGATTGGCTATCGATATGGTGATACGATTGCGATATTTATGGAGAATAGTGTTGATATGGTTGCAGCATGGGTTGGATTATCGAAACTGGGTGTGATAACGGCGTGGATTAACAGCAATCTCAAGCTAGAACCACTAGCACATTGTATCAATACTTCGCAAGCAAAGTCTGTTATATGCTCAAAGAATCTCGTTGAAGGTTAGAATCAGTGTTATTTTTCATAGATTTTCTGATCTTCCTATTGCAGAACTCATGAAAGGATATTTTCAGCGATGCGAACAACCATTCGAAAAGGCCTTATTGAGAAAGCAGAACAACTGGAATTGTATTCGATTGCTACAACTGATTCGGAAACGATTGACCTGACAAAGCACCTTGAAAAGATGAGCATTGAGGAACCGAAGAAACTCGATAATGTTGACTTTAAAAGTAGGCTTCCTCTTTATTCGATTTCACACTGAATCGTATTTTGTAATCCTTAATCTGGTTCTATCGTCTTGGTGATCAGCATAATTTTATGGAAATTTGGAGAAACTTGGTGAAGGAAGACTTTTAAGACTTAGTTGCTTAGTAAACTGTACGTTATGATTTCTTCAGGCATTTTGTCGTACATCTATACGAGTGGCACAACTGGATTGCCGAAAGCAGCCGTAATGAAACATTTCAGGTAATGCGAGTTGATTGATCAGACTTGAAAAAATATTCTATCGGAATTTTCTAGCAGCAAAAGCATCAGTGGATTACATCAATCAGCGATGAATCGTGTCATTTGACAATAATTTTTGTTCGAAACGATATTTTAATCAATGAAAAACTTGCTGTTGAATTTAGAAATCTCCTTTTATTCTATTCTTATCTAAACTTGAATCGACAAAGGTGCTTGCTATTACATACTAAAAAGTGCTTGCATTGAGCACACACGTTGAATCATGTCGACGATTGTATGATATATAACATATAACTTGAAGATACTACTCAATGGTGATGGGATCAGCTCGTTCATTCCGTATCAATCCATCGCATCGAATCTACATCTCGATGCCACTCTATCATACTGCGGCTGGCATAATTGGCATTGGTCAGGTCATTCTCACAGGATGTTCAACAGCAATTCGGAAAAAATTTTCGGCGAGCAATTTCTGGAAGGACTGTGTCAAATACGACTGCACGGTTCGTTGAATAGCCGGCAAATGGCATTATTACTTGTTGATACAAGTTGGTTTTTCGATGGAAATCATCTTTGTTGAGAGGAGGCAAACAATTTTAGCAAGTTTTCTTGCTGTGATATATCACTGACTATTGTTGGGTTGTGATTTGTGAGCCGATTAATTTGATCTGTCTGTATGCTATGAATTGATCCAGAGATCGATCAAGTGCAGCTCCTACGTGTACATAAGTTCATCTTAAGACCAGCTGAGCGATTCGGTGAGATAACTGTTGCTCATTTAAGGCGTCACAATATATCGGTGAGATTTGTCGTTATTTGATGGCACAACCGGAAATTCCTGAAGAGAAGATGCATAAGGTCGAGTTGATGTACGGCAACGGATTACGTGCTGAAATATGGCAAGCATTTGTGGATCGATTCCGAGTGCGAATCGGTGAGGTGTACGGCTCCACTGAAGGAACCTCAAATCTTGGTATGCTAACGATAAGCTTCGATTCATCACTTCAGTGATCTTGTTTTATTCGTTCGTTCAGCTACGGAAATTGACTACGATTCAAAGTCTATTCTTTGTCACAATTACTACCAATCGTAACATTTCGTATTAGACCTGGTCAGTCAATTTGCTAATGGAAACTTTTTAATTTCCTAGGAGGCATCCCTCTATTTCAAATCCAAGCTCTTGGTTTCGAATCTCTCTCAATATTATGTTGTCACGATAGTTTTTGCTCAGTGAATATTGATGGCCGAGTTGGATCTTGTGGATTCTTACCGATATCACCGTTAACAAAACGGATACATCCAGTTCGATTGGTCAGAGTTGATGATGTAACAGGCGATGTGATACGAGGCGAAGACGGTCTTTGTATACCTTGCAGACCAGGTTCACCCATGATTTTAGCTGGCTTTTATGATTTTATCATGAATTCCTAGGAGCTAGTGAAGGGTGATATTGAATTTGGACAATCGTTGTCAAATATACCACTGCGTTTAAAAACAATATGCAAACAACTGTTGTGTTAGCCGTAATTCACTCGAAAACTCCTGTTAAGAACCGTCATTTAAAGCGGTCAGTCCAGCACAATTTTCTACTTTCACGTATCGCTTCAGGCGAAACCGGTGCAATGTTGTCAACAATACGCAAGAACAATCTGTTGTTGAAGTTCGAAGGATACTTGAACAAAGGCGAAACCAATAAAAAAGTGATCTATGATGTGTTTCGTAAGGGTGATAGTGCATTCGTTTCGGGTAAGTTGATTCAATCGAAGTTGTGAGATAATTTCCTCCAATCTTTTCCTTAAAGATACTGATCAGTTCCTGATCACAAATCACTTATTTGGCAATAATCAAAGTTTTCCTCACGAGAATGATAATAGTGTTGAGATTCATCGTTACAGGTGACATTCTACACTGGGATAAACTTGGCTATTTGTACTTCAAAGATCGAACAGGAGATACGTATCGATGGAAAGGCGAAAATGTTAGTACGACAGAAGTGGAAGCCATATTGCATCCGATGAAGTGTGTTGCTGATGCTACGGTCTATGGAGTGACTGTGCCGGGTCAGTGCAATCATCACTTATTGGCCTGGTGAATCGCGTTTCTTGCAGAAATACTGAAAATTGATTAGAGAATTAGCCACACCGATTACCAACTCAATGTGCTCTTTCCATTGTGTCAATTTACTAAGAACTACACTTCATTAAATGAAGCTTCTTTAGTGCTGCTTTCA